CGGTCGCACGTCGGCCGAAGGCATCTTTCTTTCCGCTGCCGCTTTCTGTACGCTGATTTGTTGAGACAAAATAATTAATTTCTCAAAAACTATTGCGAATATCGCAAAACGGCACAGGACTTTCTTGCTCACCTCAATCCGTTCTACGTTCTCACCAAGGGTCATCATGGGACTTCGGGACACCCTGTAAACGTCTTTCATTTTGTCTACATATGTTGTAATTAACTCAATAATATAATTTTTGATAATATGATTTAATAAAAATTATATTTTTCGTATTTTAATTGTTAATTTAACCCTTAACTAGTGAGATGAAGTCTACGAAACCCTTTACATTCTATTTTGTTACCTTTAAATTTTTATAGTAAAAATTTTTTAACTATTAACTGTTATTAAATAGACAAAGTCATAAGAGATAATAAAATTTGAGTAATTATAAGAGTATAATTAAAAAAAAAAGAAAAAAATCTTTATCTTATCTTACTAGATAAGATTTTTAATTAAATTAATAAAATTTATATATAAATATATAAATCAACGCTCACTACAAGCGATGGGGTATCTGTCTAATGTAACCATAAAATATAAATGTAACCATAAAAGTTACAATTAAATTTTTAATGTTTTCTTTTGTTCAACCTTATATATAACATGTCTCTCAATGTTTTTACACTATTAAAGAGTTGAACTATGCACTTACATTATAGCTATATATTTATTTGAAAAAAGATATTCCATAATATGTTCCGTGCTCTAGCTAATGTTCTCATTATTAATATGGTTTGTAAAAGCAGATTTAAAATTATGTATTATCGCGCAAAGACACATAAAAATAGTTAATTCCATCGCCGCAAACATAGATAGTTAGATTTGGTACTGCGTATAACGAAGTTGTGTACTGCAGATATTGCAGTAAAATTTTGTTTTCGCTAGATAAAATTAGTGAAATATAAGACGAAGGGGTAAAATAGAAATGTTTCTATTGAAAATCAGTGCGTATTTACTGATTATTGACGAAATATTCTTTTTACTTATTTAATCAGAAATTTATTAATTCACTTTAAGAAAGTAATTAGGTGAAGTTATATATATTCTTTTTACTTATTTAATCAGAATTTTATTAATTCACTTTAAGAAAGTAATGAGGTGAAGTTATATATATCACAATTTACTAAAAAGAACCTGTTGGAGAAAAGAAGAAACGTTCATACGGCGTGTTTTGACTTGATTGTCCCTTGATTTGTCTTTTTTCTCCATTTTTTAATTCTTTTCAATTCTTCGAGCAATTTCGATCTGATTATTTTAACTTTGTTACAAAATAGAAACTTTAATATGTGTATGACTTACCGTAATATCCGGACATGTCCATTGGTACGATTTGTATAAGATTCTTGCTTTTATGCAGTTCACGTAAAAAAAGTTGTGCCACGTAAAACAACAGTACCAAGTTCGGGCTATCCACCGGTATTCCGACATCTATAGCGCTGTAACAAGACACATATTATCGAAAGATCTTTATTTGTCTAAAGTTAACCTGACCAGGTTATGATATGTCATCAATTGTAATTTTGCGTTCTCATTCGTTGATCTTAAAGTGACTCAAAAGGAGAATGTAAGAGAAAGAAAGAGTAAGGTAGAGTAAAGTAGAACAGAGAGACAAAGAGAGAGAGAGAGAGAGAGAGAGAGAGAGAGAGAGAGAGAGAAAGAGAGAGAGAGAGAGAGAGTGTGTGTGTGTGTGTGTAACGCAATGCCGTAAAAAAGATCATGTTATCGTTATCAAATGCCTGAAAAGTAAGTCGCATTATTGCATTCGAGAAATATGAATTGTTTCAATGACTTTTTTCGTTGGGCATAATTCACTCGGCGGTATATAAATCCGATTTCAATCTTACAGACATCGTCACAGTTTGCTGAGTTAATTACATTAACTATATAATTACTGATGCTTACGCAACTTTCGAGACGAAGAAAGATTGCGAAGAAAGATCGCAAGTTAGATATTTCAAGTGGTTTAGAGCAGTCGCCCGGCAAGGGAAAAAGACTCGGGTTCGAGTCTCGGCCTAGCAAACTGCGCTTTCGATATTTTTTTCCTTTAGGAACGAGAAGATACGCAGGTCTCGAATACATGGCGTCTTGCCGTCGCACAGTGGGCCAGGAGACTAGTAAAACTGGTCAAAATTAATATCTTTTAAAATATGTGAATGTATATAACATCATTACACTTATATAAGGTTCTCGGCATCGCTCATTCCATTTCCGATGTCGAAATTTTGAAATACAAAATGGCGGATTCAATATAGCGAACCAAAACGTGAAAAGTGACTTGATTTGGATGAAACTCGGTACTCGGGGGTTTTTAGAATCGTTGATTACAAATCCGAACTTAAAATTTCGAAATTAAATATGGCGGACCAAAATGCGAAAAGTGACTTGATTTGGATGAAACTCGGTACTCAGGGATTTTTGGGTTCGTAGATTATAACTCAAAATTTTGAAATTAAAAATGGCGGATTCAATATGGAGGTCAATATCTAATTTAATTATGTTCGGATTGATAAAAACTTGATATTTGAAAGTTTTCGATATGGCTGATAACAAATTTGACACCAAAAATTTAAAATTCAAAATGGTGGATCCAATACAGTGATTAAAATAAAAACATGGGGTTTTGTAATTTAAATGCCTACATTTAACTTTCGTGTAAAAAATGTTTCAAAACTGCATGAAGATTTCAGTATAAAGAGTTCAAGGTTGCCGAATCCGAATTTGATATATTTTTAAAATTCAAAATGCAATATGGTGGATCGAATACAAATAGTGACTTCACTTGGATAAAACTTGATAATTGGGAGTTCTTCAGATCACTGAATACAAATTTAAATTTAAAATTTAGATATTCAAAATAGTAGATCTAATATGGCGAACCAAAAGGGACAGTCAGTTTGAATGTTTTAGTTTTGAATACGGATCCGAATGTAGCGACTACGAATATTTATCAATGTCAATTTTCACAACAAAGCACTTTCAGAGCACTTTTAGCATTTCTATCCACCATTTTAAATTTGACATTTTAAATTTCTAAATTCTGTGTTCAGATTCGAATTCAGTGACCCCTAAAATCCAGTACCAAGTTGCACAACGATCGGAGCATTTTTAGCCTTTCTGTCCGCCGTTTTGAATCCGACATTTTGAATTTTTAAATTCTGTGTTCAAATTCGAATTCAGCGACCTTGAAAATTTATCAATATCAAGTTGCACAACGATTAGAGCACTTTTAGCATTTTCCGCCATTTTGGACCCACCATTTTGAATTTCCAAATCCTAAGTTTAGATTCGAACTCAGCGACCCCGAAATTCTATAAGTACGAAATTTCACGACAATGGGAGTAGTTTTTGTCTTTAGCTATTTTCTTAGATCTGCTGATCCATTGTGCACAGGCATGAAGTGTGTACGCAATATCTCACAAATATCTTCATAAATTGGATGGTGGCAGCTGGTGGCAGCTGATCTTATAGAACACATATAAGCTAATCCCACGATACCTTAAACGTGAAGATATACAGCTCAACTTCACACAACTTTTGTTGCAAAAAATGATATTGCGATAAATATTCAGAAATATATGCGTAATGTTCTATCATTTTGTCTGTTTTGTATTTTTGTACTCTGCACGTTATTATAATGATTTATCTAAATATAACGATGGATGGAAGTTGCAGATTCTTCATTTGCAATAATACAACAATACTAATAAAATATTGAAAACGTTAAATCACTAGTACAATATATAATATTCAAAGTTTGAAACTTGTTGCCAAATATAAAAACCAATCGATCAAATTCAATGAAACTTGAAAAATAGCTAGCTTAATGTATGTAGATGAAATGTTAAAACGTTCAGGAGAACTCATCTGCAGAATCGATTTTTGGCCACTTTTTGAGGTCTGCTGATCCATTGTGCGTCGCCTAGTACACCCTCCTTCTTCTATACTTGTTAATATCGTCTTCATTAATGCGTACATTGTTCAAGAAATATTTGAACATAACGTGAATTCCGTAGACGATATTTCTTTGCTGTGTTATCACATATTTTTCTTTCTATATTTGCAACTGTCAGTAGTTAACGACGGTTTCGTATGATCCCGTTGAAACTGCTAACATGACCCATACCTTCGTAGTACATTATTTTGGTTAAAAGATAAACAAACAAGAAATAGTCGACCGCGATATCACTTCTTTACCATGAATTCTATTATAATAAATATATCGCTACAAAGTAGCTTTTGAAATAGCGGAAGTTATCACGGAGTGGAATAAAACGTAAGAAAAAAGATTCAAATTCGAGCTACCAATGTTTTAGCTTTATATTGCGTATTCTACTGAATATATTATCTATATCTATCTATTAAATATCTATTGTATGTGAATATAGTATCTATTGAGTACATAGTGCACTTTGTTTAAGTAATTTTTTTCCAAAGTGTAGTATGATGAAACTTTTGATTGCACAGTTGTTTACGGATCAATTTAGAAATTAAATAAAATTTTCTGTTTCTCAACATTTGAAAAGTTGCGCGGCTTTATATATTTTATTTTTATTTGAAAACGTATCATTAATGTAATTGTTCTTATAAACTATAAATAAATATGGATAATTTAAAAGATATAATTAGTTGAATTAGAAATATATCGTATTTGCTAATACAACTTTATGTCATTCATGATGTGATATTGCGAGCATGGACTACCATAGATGATCTTAATAAATGCTAGTAAATGACATACAGTGACAGTAATCTAGATTTGTCAATCGGGAAAAAATTTGAAAGTAATATTGATGCAAGTTGTCTTTTTTGCGACAGAAAAATTTCTGATGATACAAAACAATAATAATGGTAATGGAACCGATTGTGAACCGATGTGAAACTTTTTTCACATCAACATTGCTACAATTGTATATCTTATTTGGAGAATAAACAGGAAAAATAGACACAAAAACATACTAAAAAAAAAAAAAAAAAAAAAAAAAAAAAAAAAAAAAAAAAATAGAAAAAATAAAAAAAATTGTTCCATTTTTTGTATAAATTCTTCAAGTTGTTAATTATCTATCTTTACAATAGTCCATATTATCAACACATCTTACATGATATAAAACTTTTATGTCATAAAAAAATTAGAAATATCAATTGAACGGCAAAATATTCTTAATACAACTATATTAAAAGTTACACAGAATGTGCCAAAATTGTGGAAACAGTCGAATATTTCGAAAAAAAGCATTTTTCAGGAAAATGTTTCAGACAAAAGTTATAGGGTTTCAGAAGATCTATTTAACAGCCGTATTAGTTGGGTGGTGTCGTCAAGGTCAGGTCAAGGTCACATAGATTTTTTAAATAGAAATCCTCATATTTTATTACATATTCTCGTAGCTTACTTCGAGAGCTTTTCAAAACACTATAATAAAGTTAGTTTTCTTTAAGTACTTTTCGAGTTTAAGACTTAAAATTTACAGAAACCGACAACATTACTCAATGTGTACGACGCAGAGGTTGCCCAGTCTTACTTTGCGTGCTTACGAAATGTTTTGGCTTACTTTTATTTACGACTAGGACATTGTCAAGCAGCAGAAGGAGATCAATTTGAACACTTCATCAAGTAAATCACAAAACTATTACACGTACACACACACGAGGCACACACATATGCATGCATGCACTCACACATGTGCATAATAAGAAGGCAAAGGGACTTACGTAAATCAAGCATCCCAAACGTGAGAGGCAAGGAGACATGTAAATCAAGCACCCCAAACGTGAGAGGCAAGGGGACTCATGTAAATCGAGTACCCCAAAACATGAGAGTCCACCACGTCTACGTCATGGATAACGCTAAGCACGGGAAAATGTCGGTGGTATTGTAAATTTCAATCCTTATAACTCATAAAGTACTTAAAAAAAATAACGTTATTATTGTGTTTTGAAAAGCTCTCGAGATAAGCTACGAGAATATGCAATAAAAAATTGGGATTTCCATTTAAAAAAATCAACGTGACCTTGACGACGCCACCCAAAGTAAAAACTGATACAGCCATTAAATAGATCTTCTGAAACCCTACAACTTTTGACTGAAACATTTTCCTAAAAAATGCTTTTTTTCGAGATATTCAACCATTCCTACAATTTTGGCATATCTTGTATATATAGATGTTAAATGTAAACATTAATGAACTTATCTTAAATAAACTGAAATAATTTGATTACCATGTATAATTTTAAGGCGAAAGAAATGTAGGGAATTGTTTATATCTCCATATGCGTTTCTCGTCTTGTGCTGAGCATTATATATGATAAGGTTTATAATAAAAAAAATGCAATTATTTTTGGTAGATGTCGCCAGAGTTCATATAATGTTTTATAGAAGAAATAAACTCCTATTTCATACAACATGTGTATACGTATGCGCGCGCGTGTGTATCTCTTTCAT